GTTTATCTTTTCTCATTTATTCAGCACGAGATTGTGTGTTTAGATTTATAGATCCATTAATTTGAAAAGTATTTTTATTCTAACACCTCACTGCTCATCTAAATCTACTACAAATATTTAATTGCTTTCAGTTTAGTTTCTCAATATGGTGGCAGAGCAATCTCTATATTCGACTATTTAATGATTTTTTTTGCTGATTTAAATTTGGTTAGAGAGACAAACTGTAAAGAAAGTTGCTTTATTTTGAAAGATCCATGGAATCAACATCTTGCATTGTAGATTCCTCAAGGAATGAAGAAACCTTAGCTAAGCCCTTCTATCTCCACCTAAATAAAAACCCATCGTTGCAGTTTACATTTGCGCTTTTAACAAGACAAATGTTTTATTCATGGTTGAGATTTATAAAGATGGTGCTAATTTTGAGAAACAAGCTCAAGTTTATTCATGGCACTATCCAAGTTCCAGATAAGAATAATCCTTTATACGAGGCTTGGGAGAGATGTAACACAATCATCCTCTCTTGGATCTTGAGGTTGTTGTCTCTGTCGATCGCTCAAAGCCTAATTTGGATTAATTATGCCAAAAACTTGTGGAAGGATCTACATGTCTGCTTCACATAAGGAGATTCGGTAAGAGTATCTAACCTACAATAAGAGATATTCATTGAAACAAAGTAATGATTCTATAACTGAATACTATACGAAACTGAAAATATTATGGGAAGAACTACTGAACATGCGTCCATTACTTGCATGCAACTGTCAATGTGTGAGTAGAAAGTATCAGATGAGACACGTTACTAGATTCCTTATGGGATTGAATGATTCATTTTCTATAGTTAAATCACATATTCTAATTTTAAAGCCATTTCTATATATAAATAAGGTGTTTGCAATGGCTTTTCAGCATGAATGGAGTCTTGATGAAACTGTTGATTTCTAGCAAATGGAACCTAATATTCTGTATGCTAATAGCAGTAGGAATGTGCCTAACATGTCAAGTCAAGGGAATCTTAAAAAACTTAATGCTAGTAGAAATGGGAAAAGAGTTACTTATACACATTGTGGTTTGAATGGCCACACAATAGATAAATATTATAAAAAAACATGGGTATCCACCAAGTTATAAAGCTAAGCCAAAAAACTTTGCTAGTGTGAACCAGTCAAGTATGTATGTGACTAAAGTAGAAATAGAAGACAAGTTCCCAGATGTGGCTAATTTTTATGAGAGATTTAATTCTCAATATAATGTCTGAACTCTCTACCAAAGCTACAAAGTGAGCATTCCTAGAATATGCCTTTACTATTAAAGGATATCATGTCTATGATTTAAACTCTCACAAAGTATATGTTTCCAGAGATGTTATCTTTGTAGAGATTATCTTCTATTTCTCAATAAGCTCTACTCACAAATCAGAAAACTTTGTATACCCATATATTAATTATTTTATGATAGAACAATGCAGCGATCTTACACAATCTTCAAATCATCAAGATGATGTTGATCATGTTGGCAATGCTTAGCCAATAAATTATGGTAATTCATCTACTATTGATTTCATATAGTATATAAATTTTGACCTTGCATCTAAATATGATCATATTCACACAAATACCCATATTGACAAAAATAATACTTCAACAATTCCACTAATGCTAGGACTATATACTGATCTAACCACCACTGCACAAAATACATCATTACCCAGATGTTCCAACAAGGTCGTTAAGCAACTTACTGACATGACTATCGTATATATGGTTTAAAATTCCATAATAGTTCAAAAACATTTACACCTCTTTCTATACTTAATGTCTTATCATATAACCACATTACTCCAAAACACAAGCCTTTCATCTTAACCATCTCAAATGATAAAGAATCAACCTCTTATAATGAAGCCATTAAACATCATTACTGGAAAGAGGCAATGTTCAATCAACTAAAAGTATTAAAAGACAATCAAATATGAGAATTAACTACTCTACCTCCTAATACAAGGTCATAGGATGTAAATGGATATACAAAATTAAAAAAAAAGTCAATGGTTCAATAGAACGTTACAAAGCTAAATTAGTTGCCAAGGGTTATACACAACAATTTGGTATTGATTACCTTGATACTTTTTCTCCAGTTGCAAAATTAACCATAATTAAATCTTTACTTGTTATTGCAGCCTCTAAAGGCTTGTTTTTATATCAGTTAGATATAAATAATGCATTTTTGTACAGTGATTTATTTGACAAAGTCTATATGACTCTTCCCCCTAGATTTCATGTTTCTCAATCTAACCAAGTATGCAAGTTGAAAAAAAGTTTATATAGATTAAAGCAAGCCAATCAACAATGGTATTTTAAGTTAACAGAAGCATTGAAAAGTCAAAGATATACCCAATCTCATTCAGATTCATCTCTATTCTTAAAATCTAGTAAGAATAACTTCATTGCACTTTTGATATATGTCGATGATGTTATTATTGCTAATAATGACATGTATTAAGTGGAGGTAATTAGGAATTTTTTACATCAAACATTTAGGATAAACGACTTTGGGTAAACTAAAATTTTTCTTGGATTGAAAATAGCTCGTTCACAACGAGGAATTAATGTATGTCAAAGGCAATATACACTCGATCTC